TTTTTTAAAAATACCCCCCCCCCCCCCAAAAAAAAAGCAGACATGTGATCCTAAACTAAGCATCGATTTTTTCCGAGCATCCATTACCCAGCTCTGGGTAAATAAAATCCTATCACAGCATAAGGATTGATATACACAGCGTGTGCTGATAAAATTCTGTCTGGGTACTGCTCTTCACTCCTCATCTGGTGCCAAAATGGTGTTGTCGACAGGAAAAAAAAAAGCGAGGTCATTACACCAACATACAGGCACATTTAAATAAAAATGAATAATAAATGATGAACAGAGAATTGGATTCGGTTCCAATTTAATTTGTTAATGCGTGAGCACCTTTACGCAATGGTTCCCGTTAGCTGCAACTTCCTCATTAAATGCTAAAGTGATTACACCCCGCTTTGCCCCCACTATGGCCGCAGCAATTGATTTTTGTTCTAACAGTTCCGACTCTTGCATTCTATCTGCCACCCCTGCAATTCTGTGGACTTGACTACAAAGATCCTTCTGTTTGTTTGTTTGCGAGACGTTAGCAGGCAACCCAAGGCTGTAAACAAATCCACTGCTTTCACTCTGGGTGTCAGAATTCTTTGTTATTGCAGGCGACTATGAAAATGAATAACCGCCTGCAACTCTTCGAAGCAGATCAATTAGACCACAGGTGTCAAAGTCAAAGCCCGGGGGCCAGATCCAGCCCGCCACGTCATTTTATGTGGCCCGCGAAAGCAAATCATATGCGTCAACTTCCATGACCGTTGCCTTTATATCTGTACCGAAATCTCAAATTGTCATATGTAATAAATAACGGTGACATTTTGCAACAACTTTATGACACGGTTTACACTCACTTGAACAATAATTGAACAAATACGTGACTGATTTCAAAACTAGTGAGCCATCATTTTTTTTTTTGTGTGTGTGTACGAGTAATAATACAATGTGATGATTAAACATTTATTCGGTTTCACCGTCATAACGGCCCTCGGAGGGAAGACGTAACTCCAAAGTGGCCCGCGACAAAAATTTGACACCCTTGAATTAAACTCACCGTTGCAAAGGAAAACGGTTCAGACGAAAAACAAATAAATAAATGGATATTGCGTGCCGGTAGACAACCATGACATATCCTGAAGGAGCCCAATGACAAAACTCATAAGATGTGAGTGATCCATTAAAAAAAAAAAAAAAAAAAAATCCAGGTAGTGTCCACTTCTATGACCTTTCCAGTTTCTCTGTAACCTGCTGAAGATACGCTAAGGCACAAGTGGACACTTCGATCCAACGTCTGATGATGAGGTCCTGTTGAAGGTGACATTCGCACATAATTAGGAAGTAAAATACGTCAGCTAACACGAGTAATGAGTATTCTCCCACTTGGACAAAAGCAAATCTTGTGACATTTCATGAGTGCTCATCAAGCATCTTCAATTGAAAGCAAACTAATCATCTTGCAAATGAGAGCATCAAGAATCAGTGTGACGGTACGTTGATTTGAATATTCTCCCTGTCATTGCCAGACCTTGCTTTTTCTTTAGCTTTTGGCGATGTCGTGTGTCGTGAGCAAATGCACTGTTTCCGATTGTGATGCCAATCAGGTTCAGCGGTACAGAAAATGGGATGGATGAATGTTACAATAGAACACAACTACTGTTTAGAGTTACAAATGTGGCTTGGAATTTACATACACTTATCGTATAGTTTTGGATCAATAAAAACAAACAGAAGACTAAATGTATGCTACGTCACACAAATAAGACCAGCGTAGCTTTTTTTTTTTTTTTTGCACGGATCTCCACGTCTGTGCCTAAAACCCCAGCCGCAGGATTTCCTTTTGGTAAACAGCTTAGAGAAAGTCCACAAAAGCCGGAGAAACAAATACTGTATAATGTGATTGTTACTGTGACAAATTGTCAAAAGTGTGTATGACAGCAACGACATGATTGGGCTGAGACGTGGACGTATCTTCCTATTTACTGAAAACACGTACTAAGATTTTGTTTGATGAGACGAAAAGGCAGATCAATTTCAATGTACATTTTATATGCAAGTGTCATATCCAAGACCCCTGCACCCCCCCCCATAAAAAAATCTCTGTCGTCAAATCCCTTCACTGTCTATACTTCGCCCACACATTAAAACAGTCACGTTAATCCGTCCCCGCTCCTCTTCCTGTTGCTGTAGGTCTCTCGCTATGAATCTATTAAATGTCCCACGTACCCACCTAAAAACCTGCGATCGTCACGCTTCCCAAACAGACGAATGCTTTCATAAGCAGAACCATTTGATTAGGATTTGAAGACTGTGCACTTGAACCGTGTGCTTTTATTTACACGTCAGGTGTGTCCCCGACATCATTTGGTGACCTCAGGTCTGCGCAAGGTGCTTTATAAATGCATTTTGCTCGCACCGCATCATTTCATCATCGACGCGCACCATCGGTCACACCTCATCTGCCAGTCTTGTCAGATCGCAGCGTCCCCAGGACTAAAATAAAGACATTTGTTCATGCCAGAAAGCGACACGAACAGAGCTGCCGCCATGCTCACTCAAGTCTTTTTCGTTTGTCTCATTAGTCCCCCGCAATCAAAGGCTGTCTCTCACAAAACGATGCAGTTGTCCACATTGATCCACTGTCCATCAACTCAGCAATGAGCAGTAATGAGGGGTTTTGGACTTCGACTGGCAGCAAATGTGACTAATCTAAGTGGGGGGATGCCAGCAGTCATAGCTAATGAGATAATGGTGCCGTGTGATCAAATTGACTTTTGTTTGAGGAGCAGCAAAAACAAAAGGAGCGCTCAGAAGAGTGCAGACCTCCTCCAAGGAGCAACAGTGAAAAAAATTGACACCCCCCCCAAAAAAAATGTGACATGCCATTAGTTGTACTTCCTGATTCAGAAAGGATCTTTTCTTTTTTTTTTTTTTGATCCAAGGGAAAAAGTTCCATTGTGATACAAACTGGAACAATTTGTCACGCGGGAAAAAAAAAAAAACATGTGCCATCATTCTCTTTAACTGTTCTTGAGTAGCCTACTAGTTCACGAAGACAACAAGAATATTCCAATTCTGATTTTTGGGGATGGAAGAATGGTTCCATTGGAGCTCAAACAGCAAAAAATTGAAAATAAATTCCAATAACAAAAGGCCCTTTTTTTATTTTAATTATTTCTCAAATCGATCCTATATTGCATATACACGAGGCACGCCATTTGCTTCCCAATTCCTGCGAAGCGGATAACAACGTAAGACAACAGCATCAGATTTTTTTTTCAAATTCTTTGGCAGAGATTAATTGTAATGGCAAAAAGAAAAAAAAGATGAATTCCTCTCACAAAAGGGAGAAAAGTGCTGAGGTTACATTTGGCTTTGTTCGTTTTTAGCACGAGAACGATAAAAAGGTGGAAGGGACTCTACCATTCGCAACCTGTCAACTTGCTGAAAGATGACCAAACATTCCCTTATCACATCATCCGAGCTCATCGTCCCGGCGACAGAGCGCGTGGTGTGGTGATCACACATCAACATGCGGACACATGTTCACACGCGTGGGCAGTGCCTCTGCGAGACAGCCTTTGTGTATGCGTCTTCATGCGCGTAAAACAGATGAATGTTATATTTGGGATGACGGATTAATACCCGAGCGTCAAGTTAGGGAACAAAAGGACAAGATGAGATTTAAAAATACTGGCGAAACAGATGTTTTGTCGGCAATCTCGTTTCCACAATGGACCAGCCGACAAGGCAAATAACCTGTGATCACGCGCAAGCTATTGTGGATATTCGAACGAGACTTTTGTACTGACTCTTCAACAGACGCTTGTGAAGGAGATGGCTGGACCGCAGACGACTTGTCACAAAAATTAACTGAGCAACGTTGTGACATAAATATTCCACTCTTAAAGCTGCTCGGTCAAAAGTGGACTGAGTGAAATACTGAGCCTGTGCTCGGTCCAAAAGGGGCCAACCCAATGCTGGGTTATTTCTACCCAGCACGTTGGGTCAAATGAGTTAAAGCTACCAAGAAATGGGTTGCCAATTTCCCAGAATAGCTGTGGTAAAAAAAAAAAAAAAAACAAAAAAAAATTTCGTTTTTTTTTTTTTTTAAATACCAGATGCCCTTGCTGATGCAGCCCACTCATTTAAAGTGACATTTACTGCTTCAACTTCAGTCCACAAACCTGTTCAAAATGGTGACCAGGTTCAGCTCTTCAGCCTACCTAAATCCAACATTCAACCTCACCTGCTGGGCCGAAATAATTAAAACAGCCTTGAGCGAAAGGTTTTTTTTTTTTTTTTTTAAACTGAGTACAGTATTTGTCAATTTGGTACTTCGGCAAACCACAACCAGAATGTATAATCCGGAAAGAAATGGAAGGGAGGCACTCAGAAGGACAGAAGTGATGAATCACGGCTGGTTTTAGTCACAGCTTTTACTTCTTATCATAATGGCGAAAAATAAACACATTGATGTATTCCAGATAACTCTAAGGTCACCGACGTCCTTCCACATTCACAATAAAGGCGGATCCCACGTTTCTTTTATTTTCTCGACAGCTTTTAAGCTCTCACCCACAACAAGAGTGCTTTAGTCAGACGTTTGACCTTCAAAGTGCTGAATATTCCGCAAAGCCGAGCTGCTGCCATTTGGCCACAACGCCAGCTAAAAATATTCACACGAGTCAAAGATGACAAAGACATGTGAGGGCATCTGAGAAAAAAAATCGTCTGTTATTGAGACAGCAAGGACAATCATGAATGATTGAGTCGTGTCAAACAACCGACTCAGCATGATGGTTCACCAACGTGTTGTGCGATACAGTAGTGCACGAATTTTGGAAAAGATAAGGTTTGTTAAATAAGAGCAGAGTCACTCATGGGTTGAACGCGCGCTTGACCTCTGAGATGGAACCTTATTTTTAGTTCTTACTCAGTGACTGTGCGTAAATGCGTGTGAAAGGTTGTTGACCTATGTGTATTGCGATTGATTGGCGACTAGTTTTAGGATGCTGTTTTCCTAAAGTGGCTAATACGCCGGGGGAGTATAACAGTAAAGACCCTTGGTTTGCCTGAACGCCGAGCGATGCGCAGTGGCGTCTACGAAATTTACAAACACACTAAACTTGCCCCGCCACGAAAAAGATGTGCTCCTTTCTACGCCAATCTCCTTTCTGTGACCAAATTGTCAGATGCGTAGGGGGCTCAGCAGTTCCATGTCGCGGAACGCGGAGTGAGGCGCATCACGGTCAAAAAACACGGTCGAGACTACATTTGCCCAAGCACGAAAATAACGTTGCGGCCATTTTGACGCCGGACGCATGGGCACCCGTCTACCAAAACAGAATCATAAAATCTCATTTAACACAATGGCTCCATTTTTGAACAAAGACCTTTCTGTCTGACGCAAATGACGATTCGCAGATGTGTCAAACTGCCGCCAATAGAGTGCCAACTACTGCCGAGGAGAACTTGTTTTTTTTTTTTAATATGTGGCTAGTATCGGCAGCCTTAACGTGTACATGATACCTTAAAATAAGGCTACTGTTGGGCCAATCCCAATCGCAATGTTTCATCCATATATTATTGAAAATTGATTGTATACATGAGGCAAGCCAATTGCTTCACATCACAATGACACCCCCGCCGCCCCTCCCTCGCTCCCTGCAGGTTTATTTAAACTAAACACTGGGTGGGGGGGCACGACGCGCATACACCCACGCACATACGCAGGCATCAGCCCGCACTGGGAGCTGAGACGAGGAGGAGCTCCCGTTCAAAGCGGAGGGCTGCTGATCGCCAGGCGCAAGAGGAGCGGCCAGTCAGCTGGCTGTCACAGCTCCGCGCGGCCACACATTGGCGCTCTGCTCCGCGCACATAGACCCGAAGTCTCTGCCCCGGTGAAAGGTAGACCGACACTTGCAAAAACAACTGCAAGATCGCATTATAATTGGGGGCTTTTAATCAATCTGGAGGAAAAAGGTTTTGAGTGATTTTGCGATCTGCTGCGAGGAGAGGCTTTTTTATCCCCCGACCGAAGCATTCTCGTGGCTGCTATTTATGTCAATTGGGGTTAGGTAAGTCATTATTTACTTGGTTAAAATAAAACTGAACTCATTTGCTCGACACATTTTCAGCTTATTTTGTGTGCAAGATCTTCCCCACGTGCTTATTTTCATTTGGTTGTTACGCGGCAGGATTTATGCACATTTTTGGGGTTGCAAAGTAAAAATAGCCAGAACGTGATTGATCATGCTGTGCCTTATTCATGAGGATGGAGGAGTAAAACTCATGCAGGAATCATTCATGTAACAATCAACTCCTACAGATGTGGACATTGTTTAACAGGGAAACACTAGAATCAACGTGTGCCGATTTGTTTCTAAGTCTAAAGATGTATTTTCAGAGGCGAAAATGCAACGTGCAAATCAAGAGTATATATATTTTTTTTTAGTACATCCCTCGCTTTCAAAGAACACTGGAACCATGTAACCAAAAAAACGAGAGTCACTTGAGCACCTTCCGAAAGAATGAATTATGCATGAACTAAAAGATCAGTCTTACAGTCTGCCGAATGCAACAGCCCGCAATGCATTCACTTTTAAACTGTTCCCATAAGCTTCACGTATGGTGAAATTTGGGCCTCGCGTGAGGCAACTCAACTGTGCTAACTGCCTGCTGTCATGACATACAAGAATCGAGTGCGGGTTTCGAGCACATGCCGAACATTGGCGTTGCGATACCGCACACGATAACACCCGCAGACTGAGGCAGGCTGTTGGAGGAAGATGATGGAAAAAAAAATAATAGCTCAGAATGAGGCAGACATCAATGAGGAGATCCACGGTGACAGGCAGACTGGGAAATGCGCAGCGCCCTGCAGACTTGCCAAAAGTGTCTCGCTGCTTTGTGTGCCTGGCGCATCAGTTTGTTCATTCATCATTCCCCATCTGTGTGTCTTTGAAGGGGTCAGGGAAAGATAGAGAGATTAAATTAAAACAACAACACAACAAAAAAAAAAAAGCAGGCCTTTGAGGATGTATCATCCGCGCCATACACTTCACGTGGCACTCAAATGTAAGAAATGGACAGGAACGTGCGCGCGCGCACACGCGCTCACGCAAACCAGAACGGACATCCGTCAAATGGTGAAGGTCAGCAGACTACCTGTTCTTTTTTCGCTCCTGTAATGACGCTAATGCCGCATGTTTTATTCATCGGCGGAGCTGTATGTGACTCTTCCCGTCTTAATTGGCTCGATTGACACGCGGCCTAATTGAGTCCAGACCTTTCGACTTGCGGAACAAATCAGACCTCATGGAGAACCCTACACGGTCCGAACGTGTCACGGTGGAAGAGCCCTCACCTTTGACCCCCTCCCCGCCCACCTGCCTCAAGCAAACGAGCTATTCTGATAACATGATCCGGAGCGCAGCGAACACCTGACTGATTGTTTTGCAAATGTGTCTCTCTCTGATAATACATTATGAAAGACACTCAAAGCTGCTCTGTAGCTCGCTTGGCTCCCGAGCAAGTTGAACCCGCGACTGACTGTATTACGTGCTGCACCTGCAGACCTCGTCCACTTGCCATGTCACTCAATGCCGGGCTTCATTCAAAGCAAATGATCTCCTCGAAAGCTCGCTGTCCTAAGATTGAATTTCACGCTCACTCTGTTGCAGTTTGCCAAGAGTGCTCTGAAGCTTTTTATCACGTTGCTGGGCAGCGGGTGGAAGTAATGAAGTACAAATACGTTGGGACTATAAGTAGATTTTCTGATCTGTCTACTTCAAATGATCATCCAACCACTCACTAAGAGCGTCTGTACAGTGAACTGCGATACTGTATTATCAATAGGTGGTGCTAGAACAGAACCGACAGGTGTGTGTGCATGTGTGTGTGTGTGTGTGTCTTCAGTTTGGAATGCATCTTGCTGTGTGTGAAGAGAATAAAAAAGACAAATGCCTGTGTGTTAGAGCAAAAACAATTCACTGTTAGGGCTTATATTCACCAAGCTCCACTTGAGTATAATAATAGTGTCGAATGCACACCTTCCTGACTCAATGCATACAATCAAGAAGCGTCCCTCAGGCAAATGGTTATGATGAATACACACGGCGAAACGTATATTCGCAAAAAGATTCATTCCGAAAAGGACATTTCCATCGGTCTTTCCTGATGCAATCAGTAAGAAGCTGAGAAACATGAGCTGTGTTGGTCACCGAAGAAAATCGACTGTCTGTGCTGCTCTTTAGTCTTTTGAACTATTTGTTGTCACTTTTACTTCCCAACTATTCCATCTCTGGGTTGTCTGAGGGAACCACCTGAGAGGAACAAATCCAGCTACTGGCCCTTTGATTTGACTTTCTCGGCAGGCTGCCTCGAGGACAGACAACTTTGATGATTGGCAGAGTCGCAGATGATTTAGTCATCACCCGCCCCCCTGAGGGACAGACTGTGAACATGCAACCTTTAAAGTGGAAGTCAAGTCAAAAAAAATGTCTTTGCAATAATATGTTCTATGTGCCCCCACTACTGTAAACGCATTATTATGATTAATATTGTTTTCGTGGAATAATAAGAAAAGATTAATCCACCGTTTTTTAGCCATCCAAGGAGGCTGACATTTCATGTCGCACTGCCAAACTGCTCAATTTATTTGAAGCTAATAGATTCTTGCGATTCTCCAGACCACTCCGAAAATTTTTTTGGGGGGGGGGGATTTTCAGCTTTGGGGTGAAATTTCAGGATGAATCTAAAATACACTCCAGCCTTTGGTGGTGAACTTAATTTGACCTCTGAAGATATGTACATGTCCAAATGTTCAATATTTCAGTATTTTTCGCTCATAACTTGATCTCGAAAACGAGCGAAACAGCAAAACGTATTTGATCCATGGAATCCATTTCCTGGTTCGGTTAGAATTGGGATGGAAAGAATCCTCTTGAATCAGGCTGGTTCGCATTTTGACATCATGAGACCGACACGCTGACACGTGTATCATTCCTCAACAGTACCTTGCCATGAAGGGGCTCCAGCCAGGATGTTTTCAGCGCGGCCAGCAGGTTGCAACAGAGAGACTGGAACAGTTACAGAAAGGCATATAAGTGGACTGACTTGGGGGGGAGACATCCGTCATGAAATTTGTACTTCCCCGCTGCCAATTAATTGCATGTGCTCCCATGCAATCCTCAACATGTGGAAAGTTAATGTCTAGATTTTGATCGACACCTCATTATTGCCATTATCAACACTGACATTTCATGTGATATATATGCCAGGCACACCCGTGTTGCATCTGTCTATATTCATCCCTCCAAAATGTCAGCACAATTTGAAAAAGTGTCATCTTTTCGGACGCAGCGGTTTGCCTCATGTGGTAGAAAATAGGAAAGGTCACACGAGTGACTGCTTAGCATGCAGCGCGGTTGATTTGACAATGTGAAAGCTGCCCGGCACGAAGGTGGAGTATCGTGGCTTCGTAAACATGACTTGCACTCGGAAAGTCAATAAATCCGCCTGCTAGTTTGCACAATAATAAGTGAATAGTGTCGGAAGAATTTAACCACAAGGCTTGAAAAAAAAAAGAACGACTGGGGAGAGAAAGAGAGAGAGAGAGAGAAAGAAAGAGAGAGAGAGATACGCCAGTTGGAGGACAATCATAAATAATCTTTTGGCTGGAAGAAATATTCCAGATGAATGTTGCTAAGGTTCTTCCCCAAAGGGCAGCACTGCGAGTGTGTTCGGAGACATTGGCCATTTTGACTTAGAAAGCTAACCTGAACACAGGCAGACTGATTATTGATTTCCTTTGCCATTCGCGTCCCTTTCATCCTTTTTTTTTTCTCCCCTGTCATTTAAGCTTCTTCTTGTCCATTCGCTATCACGAGTAGGGTCAACAGTTATAGAGCGCGTGCATTAAGGATCGATAAGCTCCCATCCGGGGAAACTGCTGAGCTGCCTTTCTAAGAAGTCGCGTCGCCACTTGATGATGCTGCTTTGGCCATTTGGGTTGTGAGGTTAGCATTTTCCCCCTGGAACTCGAGTCATGGCAAGTTGGATAAAACTGCCGTTGGTTTTCAAAAGAATTGCAGACGACAGTGTGTCGTCTTCAAAAAGCCGGAGCAACGTTCCTGCAACGTTCTCTGAAAAGATTCTCTCGCTCACTCAGCTTCATCTTTTGTTGATGTTCCCGCCGATGTGCTTTCCTAGTTGTGCGTTAATCTGTCCTAAAACTAATTGAAATATAACTGTGGATGCTCTTTTTAGTCTGTTGGAGAGCCCATATCATTAATATGATGCTCATAGCCATCGTCTTGGTAAGGGCAGCCATCGCCCTGCTTTTGTCTCACTCGTCTGATTGCAGCTTGTAACCGTCAGACCCAGAAGCCATCCCGCCCCTCTGACCCAGTAGAGGGAAGGCAGCGACCTGAGGGGAACTATAGTTAATGACTTTCGGCTCAAGTCCAGCAACAAAATACTCGGTTGAGGGCTTTCCCATAGCGCTGCTGTGTCTCCGCTCCAATTGCATACCAATGCAAACGGTGCGAGCGTCCAAACGGGAGCTGAAATGCAAAGCCTTTGATGAGTGCTTTCCAGATCTGTGATCGTGCTGTGACTCTGCCCAAAATGGTTGATGCAATGATTAAATTGTACATCGTCACAAAAAGATTTGATATTCAAAATCTAAGGACTTCGGCATTGTGTTATGAGCCGTGAGGCAAACAAAAAGGTGAGGACCCAGGAAGCAGATATCTTGAGGCAGCTCCCCCCACCACCCCCCAAAAAAATGTCCAAAGTAGCAACACAAAATGACTCTCTTCAAAAACAAAACTCATCTTCAAGAAAGCAAAGTAGCAACTGGAAAATCTACAATGCTACAAAGATTAACTAGCTCACCGGGTGAGTCGAGAGGTTGGAACGCGTGGCAGGATGGAAAAGGGGCAACGAACGACATGGCAAGCCACAGTGTGGAGATCGAGGATCTTTCCGGCACAGAACAAGGGGGGAGTGAGTCTTTGCTTCCAAGCGCGCCTCCTGCCATGCTCCAGTAAAGCAGAGAGGCAGAGGAGAGCAG